CAGAGAGGTATCAAATTTTACAATTCTGGAGTGAGATCACACAGTAATTTCCAAAATGACATTCTTGATTTTATATAGCGACATAGTCATTTCGTAAAACACTGAGTGATTTCCTAATTCACACGCAGATTTGCGAATGATTATGTGTACACGCGTTTACAAAGTCATGACTTCATTGCTGACTTTATGCCTTGAACGTCAGTCCTTGCCTAATACATTCGTTGTTGATTTGCAACGACATAACTTCCAAGAGCACTTTGCTCTCCTGGATTATGCAGAGTCTTTGGCTGAAGTCTAAGTCACTGGGTTAGAAGACTACTGTTCAACATGACCCCAAGCCGACCGCCGACAGCGTCGAAGAATACTATTGAGGACTCGTTCCTTGGTGCGTCGACCAGGCGTACCTACAAAACGTATCAAACGCAATTTGAGACATTCATGCGCACGCACAAAGACGGTGTCGAACCCCATGCAGCGGAACAGAGGAGTGCACCGACTTTTTCCACTTCATGTACAGTCAAGGCAAGAAGGCGAGGACCATTGACCAAGCCAAGTCGGCGCTTGTTGCGTACACGCCAAGGGACTGAAACCGAACCCTGCTCAGGACGCGTCAACCCGCCGCTACATTGTTGGACTTCAAAAATACAACAAGCAGAATAACATCGATGAGGAGAAGAAAGCTCACCCGCTCACGGTGCTCGAATTGTCCACGCTTCTCAACGCGCTGTCAAGCTTTCATCCATTTGTTGGCACTATGGTGCGTCTGGCGTTGGTTGTTGGCTTCATTGGATGCTTTCGGATCAGTGAAGTTCTTGGACTACGGTGGAACGACATTCAACTGGTTGATGACAATATAGGTCAGTACCTGTCAGTTCGACTACGATGGCACAAGAAGGCCAACATTGAAGAGGACAGCCAAGTCTATCACTTGGTTGACGACACGACGTTTCCCTGTCTGCGTGTTTGCGCATTCCACGACGACTACATCTCCAAGTTGCGTGAGTGCTGTGTCAATGTCCCAAAGAACTCATACGTTTTCCCCAACTTTGTCATGCTCCATGGTGGCGTACCTCGAGTGGACTGGTGTCGTGCCTTGGAGCAGACCACTCTGCGCAACTTGATCCGAGAAGTTGTCGAGATGACGCCGGACCTACCCATTGGAATATTGTTGCACAGCCTGCGTCGGGGTGGTTCGTTCTACCGAGTGTTCGAGTCCCGGGAGCGACACTTCAACTTTCGCGAGCTTATGGCTTGGTGCCGTTGAGCCGATGCGAAAACGTGCTGCGAGTACCTGGTCACTCAGAGCATCAGCAATGAAATCGATCCGCGCAACTTACTACGCTGTGGTACTGTGAATGGTCAACTCCAATGGCAAGGTGGCGTTATTGGGTGGTGTACCTTGTACGGTGGACGAGCTTGCTCAAACGTTGGCCAAAAGTGTCCAAGCTTTCGCGTCTGTCGCCGTGCCTGCCCCCAAGGTGACGAAGCAGTTGTCGATGGACAATTTTGTCGCCCAGACGATCGGCTCGTGAGGCGTGGCAGCAATGGTTTGTGGCGGACCCCGGAAACGGCCTGACCTGTGCGCTGAAGGACTACAGCAAAGAGATGATTCAGTTTGACCGCAAGAAGTACTCTGAACGGCATACATTGGCGATGGCTTTCATCAAGTACCAATCATTTGACCAATTCGAAGCGTCGTACACGGGCTTTACCAATTCGTACGCGCGAATTCTCAAGGAGGTCAGGCGTAGAAAGCAAATTGGTACAATGTGATAGTTAATTCATTTGTTTGTATTGCAGTTGGAGTTAATTCGTTGCTAATTGATGGATTAATTCGTGGAGTTAATTCGTTGCTAATTGATGGATTAATTCGTGGACTTAATTCGTTGCTAATTGATGGATTAATTAGTGCTACTTGTACTTTAGCCTTACTCATCAGCACGAAGTTCCAATTGCCAGAGCATAATTCTTAAAGCCTAGTCTACCAAGGCAAAGGATGACCTTTGTACTCCATCAACAAGAACTCCGTTAACCCGTTGCCTCAACCGATTCCCTGAATTGGACTGTGCCACAGTGGAGCCGAGGTGTGGGATGGTGTAGTTGATGGCCTTGGCAGCCCCCCGCCCGAAAGCAGGTTTAAGACGAAGATGGATGCTGATGGGAAATTGGAAAATGAATTGAAGCCGCTAGATGTAGTTTTATTTGACAGTCAGGACGAGCATGACAGGACGGACGAGCTTGCCAGGGCGGAACAAAAAATCTGAATATCAACCAATCAGAGTCTTGTCGGATGTATTTGTCGGATTTCCAAGATTATCCATACATATCTACTGTACTACTAACTGTAAAGTAGTATATTGTGTAGTCGATTCGAAATTACCAAGTCGGTAGGCAATCGATCGACCAATTCAACATCGGATTGGAATGTGACTGAAATTAGTGTGACACTAGATGCATCACGTTACACAAGATCAACACTATTAATAGTACTACTATTTAACGACGCAGTGCTACTACTAGTAATACTACCTAACTTCGTACTCGTGGAATTGTCACGCGCTTTTGACCAAAATGGTGACCACGACTGCTGCGACGGCGACGGTGCTCCGACTCGGCACTCCTTCGCTTCGCGAGGCATGTGCGAAGGTGTCGTTGTCCGAGCTAGCATCTGTGCCTTTCCAGGCGGACATGGCGCGCCTCCAGTCGACGCTGACGGCGTTCCGCGCGAAGAATGGCTTTGGCCGCGGCATTGCCGCCCCGCAGATTGGTGTTCAAAAGCGCTTCGTGGCAATCCATCTGGACGGCAAGCACGCGAGTCCCCAAGTATACATCAACCCCGAGATTACCTGGCGAAGTCCGGCAATGTTCTCGATGTGGGACGACTGCATGTGCTTCCCCGACCTCCTCGTTCGTGTGTCGCGACATGCATCCATCTCCCTCCGCTATTTGAATCACCACGGACAAATTGTTCATGAAGATGCGTTGCCCCAGGCAGAGTCGGAGCTGTTCCAGCACGAAATCGACCACCTCGACGGCATCCTCGCTGTTAACTTGGTCTCAAAGGACCTGCTCAGCGCCGACGAGCTCTTGGAGCGCTTTCCTTCTCATGTCATTCAGCGCCGTGCCTTCGACACGAACCCAACAAAATTTCAAAAACTAGTCGATTATGTGATTTGATGGACACGTCATCCACGGAAGTACTACGTAGTACAAGTACATTACCGGTATTGTACTTGTGTTCTTGACGAATATAAAAATGTAATTATTTGGAAAAAAATCAATTAACTCAAGAGTCATATACTATTTATTGTGCATTTCACCCAAAATTGGACATGACTGTGAGAGTCATTTCGCCAAATAGCTTTCGAATCTATTCGGAGAGGTTGAACGTTTGTATTGGCAGAAACTCGACATGACGTGATTTGATTGGTTCAGGCGGTTGCTTACGGTTAATCGATTCTCTTAAGAGCATCCCCACCGGCTGATGTAAACATAGAGCTAAAAATACCCGCTTATTGAGTGCGTGATGGAACAGTAGTACATCACTTCATAGCCAATCCACACCGTTTGGCGGAAATTGTAGTCCTGATGAGCAAACTCGCGTAGAGCGCCCGCTGGCGATTGAGATTTTGGAGCCAGTGGAGAATCTTGTGCAGCAGGGTTGGCATAAATTCTATTGTCTGTAAGATTCATATTCATGCTGCCGGCGTGCTCCAGGACGTCGGGATGGCATACTTCGTTGAAGAAGTCCATTGGAACCTCAATCGCATAGAACTGGAAACGACCCAACAGATCGATCTGTTGAGAAATCTATGTGTTGTGGTTGGAAATCGTAGTGCAAGTTCCACTACCTTCATTATTTTATCCAATCAATGATTTTTATGGTTTTGATTGGACATAAATACACTGAGGCAGACATACTTGTGGAGAGGTGCAGTCGTCGACACAATGCCCAAAAGGCACACATGATTCCAAGGGTATCGTTATGTGATGGACGAGTTGGTGGTGGTATACAGGATTATTAACTTTGCATCACTTGTGTACGTAATCACTACAAATAAACACGTAGCATGAGGAGATGAGTGAATTGGTTGCTCCTCTTAGCATCATCCATCCTCCAAAGCTTCCTTGCACGCCGATGGGACCCCAGCATCAAATGGTACAATCAACTATCACTGCCACACATCGTAATCCATTTTCACACAACTTAGAGTGTATTTGATGGAGTGGTGGCGAGATGCGCAGTGCCGGTGGTCACAAGCGCTGCGCATGTCATCACCATGCCACCAAAACACCCTTCTAGTGAACAAAGTAGTGTGAAAACTTGGTGGCCGTTGGTGATCGATTTAGAGGAAACACAGAGTCGATATGACATGGCTAGTCGTGGTGATGTACTGCATGTACAGTACAATGGAGTGGTGGGGTGGTCACATGTGCAGCAATCGTAGTCACTAGGGTAATGTTAGCAGGGTTTTGGGCATTATTCTGGAGCGTAGGGATGGGGTGGTAGTGGTGGGTGGTAATCACTTTGACTGCTAGTCAGTACCACCACCAACCACGCTCCAGGATAACGATAGTCAAAGTCACAACTACCGTTCCCCGGTAGTTGTGACTGCTGGGGCTCCAGAGGCCGTGACTGGGGTTCATTACTATGTCTACTCCTGATCTCGACAGTT